CGGCAGAGAGATAATGACGCTGTAGCTCCTTCCCTAAAAAAAAAAATAGTGAATGCAATAAAACCACAGAATCCTAAAGTGTTCAGTGGATGAAATGCATGAAGAAAAATATTTTAAAAAAGTCAATGGCAAAAAAATGTGGCATCAAACAAATAGTCCCAAAACAACACAAAAAGTGTGTATCTTAAGCACAAAGCCGTGAAAACTCAGTGACCCCAACAAACGGGCAATCCTTCACCACCTACCATGCGCAATCACCTTCCAAATGCAACTCGCAAGGAGTCACAAAGCAAAACACAGGTTGATGATCTCAGTGGGTAAGACAAACGAAGGCTCCTCTCCATGGCATATACAGCAAGCAGTAATACCAATGTCCTTAAAGGTGTATAACTTTAAATTTCCTCCGCCTCCAAAATCCTCACAAGAAAGGATCAAAAAGAGCTCCCATAGTGTAGTAAGTAAATACTTTATTAATAGACACAAAAAAAACCTACTCACATGTATAAAACGGATCTGCAGACCCAAGAGGCAATCACTGTATTAAACAGTAGAGGGTGTATGAGGTTGGGAGTACCAAGATGGTGGCCGCCGTCCATATCGGAATGACGTCACCACACTTCCGTCCTATGCGTTACGTCACAAGTCATGTGACTTCATCAGGGCTAGGAAGGTGGTGGAGGACTCCATATAAAGGGAGTCCACAGCTGCAATACCTCAAGGGGGCGGAACTCTGCAGCCATTTTAAAGGAGAACAAGCAGGGAGGACAAACACAGGAGAAAAACAATATTGCAGATGATTTGCTAAAAACATCCTGCCATGATCAATTAAATAACTCTGGAGAGGCATAAATAAATAGAGATAAAAGGATAGCATGAGAAACTCATCTGTGGACCTAAATATAAAAAATGTATGGGGACAATATATATATATATATATATATATATATATATATATATATATATATATATATACACACACACACGGGGGGGGGGGTGAACAAGAAAACACCCCTCATCCCCTGCCATAATCAATAAGTAAATAAAAATAAATGGATGTCATTGACAATACCAATAGATATCCATACATAAAAAGTGAATAAAAGGGGATGCTAATAACAATAGAAATACAAGGTGATAAATGTAAGTGGACCTACACTCATTAATACTATAATAAAAACTCATATTTATATATATATATATATATATATATATATATATATAACACCAACCGACTGAATAAAGATCTTGAGAGTATTGATCGAGATGTTAAATACAGGAAGGGTAAAAGAAATACCAGAGGGATCTGAATGATTTTAAGAGTGGCCTAGTTTTTAAATGGCAATCCATTTTGAAAGAAACTGAAGTAACTTCAACAATGACTACTCCTATCAAGAAAGCTAAAGTGGAGGTTAGGAAAAAACCAAGAGGCCCTGACAATGGGAATATGAACCGGGATCCCCCAGTTGATATGAGAAGAAACAATTATGGGTCTAATCATCCGACACCGAGGAATGGGTGGAAACCAGTGGATATGAGGGGAGATAATGACCATGGATATTATGCTCCGAATTATCAGACACCTAGGAATGGATGGAAGCCTAGAAATGGGATTTCTTTTCCAAAGAAGACCATCTGGGAGAGGACACTGGAACAACTGGAGTCCCTCCTATAATAACTATAGCCCTCAATATTACCCTAGATATGATGAACGGTACAAAGAGAAGAGCCCAAGGCCACCTTTAGACCATGGAATCCATCATGACCAGGGGGAATCGTCTGGAATATTTTTCTCCTCCCTGCTTGTTCTCCTTTAAAATTGCTGGCTGCATTCCCATCCCTTAATGTATTGCAGCTCTGGACTCCCTTTATATGGAGTCCTGCACCACCTTCCTAGCCCTGATGAAGTCACGTGATCGTGACATAACGCGAGGATGGACGAGTGGTGATGTCATTTCGGTACGGACAGCAGCTGCCATCTTGGTACTCCCCACTTCCTCATACACCCTGTACTGTTTTTCACTTGCCTACCAGGCACTTATACCCCCTTATTTGTCATTTTCAGATTTCAGCGCTGCCGCACTTGATTGACAATTGCGCGGTCATGCAACATTGTACCCATATGAAATTTTTTTTGATCATTTTTATCTCACAAATAGAGCTTTCTTTTGGTGGTATTTAATCGCCACTGGGCGCTTTTTCTTTTTGCGCTATAAATAAAAAATTGCCAAAAATTTGAAAAAAAAAAAAGTTTCTTTGTTTCTATTATAAAATTTTTCAAACAGGTAATTTTTCTCCTTCACTGATGTGCGTTGATGAGGCAGCACTGATGGGCACTGATAGGCGGCACTAAAGGGCACTGATAGGCAGTACTAATGGAGGTGGCACAGATAGGCGGCACTGATAGACAGCACTAATGAGGTGTCACGGATAGGCGGCACTAATATGCAGCACTGATAGGCGGCACTGATAGGTGACACTGATGATGGGTACTGATAGAACGGCACTGCTGGGCACTGACTGGCGGCACTGACTGGCACAACCGCGTGGCACTGACTGGCAGCACTGCTGGGCTGCCCTGGTGGGCAGCACTGGTGGGTGGCACTGGTGGGCACAGGTGGGTGGCACTGCTGGGCACAGGTGGGTGGCACTGCTGGCACAGGTAGGTGGCACTTCTGGGCACAGGTGTGTGACATTGCAGAGTGGCACAGGTGGGTGCACTGCTGGGCACAGGTGGGTGATCTGCTGGGCACAGGTGGGCGGAGCTAGTGGGCGCACTGCTGGGCACAGGTGGGGCGGAACTTGCGGGTGGCACTGCTGGGCACCGATCATCAGGGCACTGATCATCAGTGCCCTGATGATCGGTGCCGATCCCCGCTGTGACAACTGCCGGTTCTCGGCAGTACTTTCCTCACGATCTGACAGCGTGAGGAAAGTGCAGCCGAGAACTGGCACTTGCATTTCCCTCTGATCAGCGTGTCATTGGACACCGCTGATCAGGTGGTAAAAGGCCGCTGTGATTGGCCTTTTACCACATCACGTGATCAGCTGTGTCCGTAGGATCACGGAGATCGCCGGGTGCGCGCCCCAGAGCGCGTTCTGGGGGGGACGTCATATGACGTCCACTCAGAACTGGCCAGCCGCAGTGGAGCCATCATTCGGCTATCTGCGGTCGGCAACAAGTTAATACAGTGATTGCCTCTTGGGTCTGCAGACCCGTTTTATACATATGAGTAGGTTTTTTGTTTTTTTTTGTTTTTTTTGTGTCTATTAATAAAGTTTTTACTTACTACACTATCGGAGCTCTTTTTGATCCTTTTTTGTGAGGATTTTGGAAGCGGAGGAGATTTAAAGTTGTACACCTTTTAAGGACATCGGTATTACTGCTTGCTGTATATGCCATGGAGAGGAGCCTTTGTTTGTCTTACCACTGAGATCCATCCGGTCTGGGATCATCAACCTGTGTTTTGCTTTGTGACTCCTTTCGGGTCGCAGTTGGAAGGTGAGTGTGCACACTAGGTGGTGAAGGATTGCCTGTTTATTGAGGTCACTGAGTTTTTCACGGCTTTGTGCTGAAGATACACACTTTTTTGTGTTGTTTTGGGACTATTTGTTTTGATGCCACATTTTTTTGCCATTGACCTTGTTTGTTTTTTTGGTTTTTTTTTATATATATTTTTTTTCATGCTCTTCATCCATTGAACACTTTATGATTCTGTTTTTATTGCATTCACTATTTTTTGGTCACAATTTATCCTTGTTGCCACTTGTGACACTCGTTTTACACCTGTAGGATTATTTTCCTTTTGCACATGAGTCATATGATTTTTTTATGCAGATTGTTCACTCATTTTTAAAAATTTTTTTTTTTTTTTTAATACTGAGTGTTCACCTTCTTTATGAATCTGTAGCGCAGGACTTTATTTGTTTGCTTTTATGTTGATTGTTCACTCACTTTATTGATGCAGTAGTGCAGCACCATTTCTTTTATACATTTTTATCCCCATTTGAGAATCTCTGTATGACTGGTGAACCCCTGCAGCATTCGCACTCTCACACCTATGTCAAACAGAAGATACAAGCATTCTTTCTTGAAACACCTCCTTAATGTGGCAAAAGCATGCATCCCGGCATTGCCCCCTACCAAAACACATTGGCTGGCTCGCATAAACGAGATTCAGGAAATGGAGAACATGACTATGTCCTTCCACTGGGGTTAAATGTTGTATTCTATATATTTATTATTATTATTAATATTATTATTATTAATAAAAAGACAATGTAAGGAAGAGGTGGTGTGACTTAGAGATGTGAGTGGCTTGGTTCATCTCCACCTGGACTATACACCTATTTGAATCAGTGATTTTCCTGCATGTGATCTGTACAAGTTCCTGATGCCTGGGGATGGGCTGAGCTCTCCAACATTCTGTATTGATGTTTTTTTGTTTTTTTTTTCTTTTTGTATGATTTTGTTATGCCATTTCTTCGATATTAAAGAATAAAAAAAAAAACCAAGGAGGAGACAAGTGTGTGTATATATACACAAACACTGAAATGAATATTTGATTAAGTATACAATTTAATTGAGTTTCACCAGACAACTGCTTACAAATGAAACTCGTTCAACGTATCAGAAATGTTATGTGAGTAAGTACTCCACATTATACAGTCATTGGGAAATTATGCTTCTGTTCAGTTTTAAGGGGTCTACCGTAACCACCAAAAGTTTTTCAGTAAGTAAAAAAAAAAAAAAATGTTGTCCAATGTTTCCTTTCCTCTCCTTGGGTCACCCCAGGACAGGAAGATTGTTGCTGTCATAATCACCAATTATAAAGAGGGGAGGGAAAACAAACCTAAAATGGGGAGGGGAAATACAGCAACCACTGAACGACCTGTAAACTGCAAAATATAACTTTTTTTTTTTTTTTTGTTTTTTTCTTGTGCTGTAAATGTGCTTTTAACGTTTTTTTTTTTTTTTTTCTTTATTTTCTTTTCTTCCTAGGCTGACCCTTTCAATTCAAGAGAAGGAGACTTCCATTAATGTATCTCGTTGGTTCAGTTATATCCAACACTACCCTGGACTTTGGCAGCATCTCCCCAGCTTGGTCTTTATTAAAAATAGAATCTATATGGACATCCATTAGCTGACTGGACAGCTTCCACTGGCATTCCTGTCTAGTTATTTATTTTAATAAATGAAACTTTTGGTAGTTCACATATTTGATTTGCAAGTTTTGTATTTTCATCCCTCTTTCTGTAAAATAAGGGATCTGATATACATTTTTTTTTTTTGTTCTCCCTTCCTGTGTTTTATAATATTGTGCCAAAAGAAAGACAGGTTGATACTCTACTCTAATATTAATAAAAAATGGATTATAAACCTTAGTCTTGGCAGGTTAAATTTCTAAACCCAGAACAGATAACATTGCATGCAAACATGAAAAACTGATCGTGGCCACAAAAGATCCCCTTTTCCTACAATACGTTAGTATTACCATCACTAAGAGATCAGTGGTGTCATCATTCATTAGAGAACTCATAGCACAGAAAGATATACCCTACCCTCAGGCCCCTCTGCCATTAACCTTCCACTCTCTGTAAATCCAATATTAACATTCCCATATGTAAACAAACAAACTGATTCCCTACTGACCTTTTCTTATGTTCAGATTGTTTACTGAAGACTAACCTTGCTGCACTGCAATATACCATCACCAAAGTCCAATCAGAATGTATAGCATCACTCTATCAAGCCCCCACCACCTTTTGTGTGCTTATATGTTATAAGTGGACAGATATGAGTTGCACCAGCATAATGTTTTGACTAGTCCTAATGACTGAATGAAGAAGCTGGGCACAAACTTAGAATGCCTCCCAGTGACCTTTAAATCAAAAATTTACACCCAAATGCATGATCCCTAGCACTGTGTTTACAGCACCTTTCTTTTATTTTTGGATAGATCACATCAAATACTGTTTTGTTTGCAGGACTGTGGTACTGTGCATGCACCCCACTTCATCTCCCATTATGGGTACGTTTTATTCTTACAGTTTGGGGAAGTAAAAAGAGGTGGTTGAGCTGAAATTTTACTGTAGCCTTTAAGAAAAGGGTGTACACATTTTGCAGCAACATTTTAAATCACCTGTTCACAATTCTATTTTCAGAATGTAACCTGTTCAAGAGAATAGGGCTGTGTTGCAACTACATATAATGCACACTGTGGTGTGTCATTTACAGGGTTAAAACAGGATGTGAGTTTTGCTTCCTCACGACCTGTCAAATGACTGAAAAGCGATCCACCATAGATTGCTTTTCAGAGGGGTGGTACTTTTTTATTTACACTAACATCCACATTTTCAGGACAAGATTCTTCAAGGTCCAAGTAGTACGAGTACAGAAAATTTTAGCAGAATGTTAATAAGTGGGGTGCAAACTCTGCCATATGTCTAAACATAACTTAAGGATATGGTGACACCCTCTTCAACAATGTTGAAGTAAGGTATAGACATAGTTCACATGGGAAGGGGGAATCGTGTCAGTTATTGAAAAAACACAAGATTTGTTCATGGATTTATCTGTCAGCATCACTTATTTAATGTAAAATATCAAAACAAACACAGCTGCAAGACTATATTCCAAAATGATATCCCTAGGAATATTGGGATAATGACAATTTTTTTATTACCCTGTGAAATAATCTGAGCAGAATGTTGTTTACGAATGTCTCAGGCTAGGACCCAAGTCCTGAATATAGTAAACTGCAATATGTATGGTAAATATATATATATATATATATATATATATATATATATATATACACACACACACACATTTACAGGAAGTCAAACAAAATGATGGAAACACCAGGTAAAAAAACATTTTTACCTAATATGGTGTTGGACCACCTTTGGCATCCAAGACAGCCTTAATTCTCCTGGGAATTGACAAATATACAGGTGAAACTCGAAAAATTAGAATATCGTGCAAAAGTTAATTTATTTCAGTAATACAACTTAAAAGGTGAAACTAATATGAGATAGACTCATTACATGTAAAAGCAAGATAGTTCAAACCGTGATTTGTCATAATTGTGATGATTATGGCTTACAGCTCATGAAAACCCCAAATCCACAATCTCAAAAAAAATTAGAATATTGTGAAAAGGTGCAATATTCTAGGCTCAAAGTGTCCCACTCTAATCAGCTACTTAAGCTATAACACCTGCAAAGGGTACCTGAGCCTTTAAATGGTCTCTCAGTCTGGTTCAGTAGGAATCACAATCATGGAAAAGACTTCTGACCTGACAGTTGTGCAGAAAACCATCATTGACATCCTCCATAAGGAGGGAAAGCCTCAAAAGGTAATTGCAAAAGAAGTTGGATGTTCCCAAAGTGCTGTATCAAAGCACATTAATAGAAAGTTGTGTGGAAGAAAAAGGTGCACAAGCAGCAGGGATGACCGCAGCCTGGAGAGGATTGTCAGGAAAAGGCCATTCAAAGGTGTTGGGGACTTTCACAAGGAGTGGGACTGAGGCTGGAGTCAGTGCATCAAGAGCCACCACACACAGACGGATCCTGGACATGGGCTTCAAATGTCATAATTCCTCTTGTCAAGCCGCTCCTGAACAACAAACAATGTCAGAAGCGTCTTACCTGGGCTAAAGAAAAACAGACCTGGTCTGTTGCTCAGTGGTCCAAAGTCCTCTTTTCTGATGAGAGCAACGTTTGCATCTCATTTGGAAACCAAGGACCCAGAGTATGGAGGAAGAATGGAGAGGCACACACTGCAAGATGCTTGAAGTCCAGTGTGAAGTTTCCACAGTCTGTGTTGATTTGGGGAGCCATGTCATCTGCTGGTGTTGGTCCACTGTGCTTCAGTCCAGGGTCAACACAGCCGTCTACCAGGAGATTTTGGAGCACTTCATGCTTCCTTCCGCAAACATGCTTTATGGGGGTGCTGACTTCATTTTCCAGCAGGACCTGGCACCTGCCCACACTGCCAAAAGCACCAAAACCTGGTTCAATGACCATGGGATTACTGTGCTTGATTGGCCAGCAAACTCACCTGACCTGAACCCCATAGAGAATCTATGGGGCATTGCCAAGAGAAAGATGAGAGACATGAGACTGAACAATGCAGAAGAATTGAAGGCCGCTATTGAAGCATCCTGGTCTTCCATAACACCTCAGCAGTGCCACAGGCTGATAGCTTCCATGCCACACCGCATTGAGGCAGTAATTGCTACAAAAGGGGCCCAAACCAAGTACTGAGTACATATGCATGCTTATACTTTTCAGAGGTCCGATATTGTTCTATGTACAATCCTTGTTTTATTGATTGCATGTACAGTTGTGTCCAAAATTATTCAACCCCCACTGAAATTGAGTGTTTTTGGCCAGTTTTGACATTGCTTTTGATCATTCAGTCATCTTGCTTACATTTACATTAAAGAGGCACTTGTAGGTCAGACAAATATAACATAACAGTTTATAATGAAATAACCACAAATGTCTTTTCTGTGCTCACAGCATTATCAGTTTTATTCAACCCCCAAGTGACATTCAATCTTAGTACTTAGTACAGCATCCTTTTACAGTTATAACAGCTTTTAAACGTGAAGCATAGCTTGACACAAGTGTCTTGCAGCGATCTACGGGTATCTTCGCCCATTCTTCATGGGCAAAGGCCTCCAGTTCAGTCACATTCTTAGGCTTGCGCACTGCAACTGCTTTCTTTAAGTCCCACCAGAGGTTCTCAATCGGATTTAAGTCTGGTGACTGCGATGGCCACTCCAAAATGTTCCAGCCTTTCCTCTGCAACCATGCTCTAGTGGACTTGGAGGTATGCTTGGGATCATTGTCCTGTTGAAAGGTCCAACGTCTCCCAAGCCTCAGGTGTGTGACGGACTGCATCACGTTTCCATCCAATATCTCCTGGTACTGAAGAGAATTCATGGTACCTTGCACACGCTGAAGCTTCCCTGTACCTGCAGAAGCAAAACAGCCCCAAAGCATGATTGACCCTCCACCATGCTTCACAGTAGGCAAGGTGTTCTTTTCATCATAGGCCTTGTTCTTCCTCCTCCAAACATAGCGTTGATCCATGGGCCCAAACAGTTCTAATTTTGTTTCATCAGTCCACAGAACACTATCCCACAACTTTTGTGGTTTGTCCACATGGCTTTTGGCATACTGCAGTCGACTCTTCTTATTCTTTGGAGACAGCAAGGGGGTACGCCTGGGAGTTCTGGCACGGAGGCCTTCATTACGCAGTGTGCGTCTTATTGTCTGGGCTGAAACTTCTGTACCCACATCTGACAAATCTTTTCTCAGTTCCTCAGCAGTCACACGGGGACTTCTCTCCACTCTACGCTTCAGGTAGCGCACAGCAGTCGAAGTCAGCATCTTCTTTCTGCCACGACCAGGTAGCGTTTCAACAGTGCCCTTTGCCTTGAATTTGCGAATGATGCTTCCTAAGGTGTCTCTTGGTATGTTTAACATCTTTGCAATCTTCTTATAGCCATTGCCCTTCCTGTGAAGAGAAATCACCTCTTCTCTTGTCTTCCTGGACCATTCTCTTGCCTTCACCATGTTTGTAACCACACCAGTAAATGTCTAGAAGGAGCTGAGTATCACAGTCATTTTAAAGCTGCCTAATTGGTGCTTATTATGCTTGATTGCTGCTCGGTGACATCCACAGGTGTTTTCAATACCTGATGGAAAGCACCTGTATGAACCTCTGTTCTTCAGAGTGGTAGTCTTTAAGGGGTTGAATAATTGTGGCAATGAAGAAACCACATAAGAACCATTTACTACTGTATTACATAAACAATTGATGTCATTTTAGTTGCATTTGGGTAGTTACAAACGTCCTTGTAGGATTTGATTCTGAATACAATTCCAAATGTACACTATAGTCCCTAAACCCCTTTACAGCATTGGGGGTTGAATAATTTTGGACACAACTGTAATATTCTAATTTTCTGAGATTGTGGATTTGGAGTTTTCATGAGCTGTAAGCCATAATCATCTCAATTATGACAAATCACAGCTTGAACTATCTTGCTTTGCATGTAATGAGTCTATCTCATATATTAGTTTCACCTTTTAAGTTGCATTACTGAAATAAATTAACTTTCACTTG